GGAATGGCTCTTGCCATTTTAATGCCTTTTCCGAATTCCCTAATTAGGGCAATGAAGCGGTTTGTCAAAATTGGAACGGCGAATTTCGATCGGAATATTCCGACCGAAATAAGTGGACCATCTCCAGAGGTGATCCCGGATATTCCGATCGGAAGAAACCGAAACGGACCTTTCCGTTTGAATTTCGACCGAAATTTCCGGAATCTTTGGCATGATGGAAAGCATCAAATCACTTTGGCGAATTACAAATCACACAGGCAATCCAGTGAACCAATCAAAATTAAGAGACGATGATCTAAAACTCAGAGCAAACACAAAAACGCGTGCAGGCGAATCATGATTGATTTTGGTTTTACTTCAATTCTGATTGGAGGACAAATTGGCGCGAGATGTTTTTAAGCTATTTGCTTGCTTTGTTGACAGTTAATGTACTCATTTATTTTCTCTTGCAGATCAAAAAACGTTCAACGAGGAGCCGCTTATTCAGAACAAAAGAGAGCAAGGAAAACATGTGTTATCCTGTTTCCTACCGCACTCACAGAGACTCTTGACTGTCTCAATGCTTTGGACAGTAATTGATAGAAAAAACTTTCAAGTTGAATGATCATTTGGTCCTTTGTGGCTCGACCGGCGAACATAGTTCGAGCTCTGGAGGCAATGTCTGGCCAGCGTAATTAAGTAGACGAACCCTAAAGAAAGCATCATCATTGACTGCGATTCAGTTTAGTAAAGAATTGCCATGGCTCGTAGATCGCATTCAGTTCCTGGAGATATGCATTTTAAACTCAACTAACCCTTTGCTGTGATAGATAAAAGGTATCCACGCATGAAAAGCTATGTAAGGAAAAGAACTCAAAAAGAACAATGTCTCGAGGTTTGAGCCGAGCGAAAAAGTTTTAAATCGAACGTGCCAGAGAAAAGCCTTTAAATTTCAAGTAGAACTTATCCTTCTGTGTAACACTTGAAAACCTAGTTTTTGTAATGGACCATATTCGTATTCTCGGTATAAGACTGGAACTAACTTGCAACTGAGGCTAATGTGGGCAGTTTTTTCAAATGCAAATGACATTAATCTCTTTTTAATGATATTTTCCCGCGTGAGCCTCCATTGCAAGCTAGTTCCAGTCCAATACCGAGAATAACAGGAGTAAGAGATTTTTTTGCGCCTGTAAAATAGTACAACATTATACATACTTACACATAATATTGTTTAATAGCAAAAACAACTCAGCTACAGTAGAGCCGCTTTAACACGGACACCAAAGCCGCAGAGCGCAGTCTGTATTATGGAGGCGTCTGTATTCTAGAGGTGAAGACTGCAAGAATTCTTGATTCTTTGGGACCCCTTGAACTGCCCGTAATTAAGAGTTGTCCGTACGGAGAGGTTTGACTGTAGTAAATTATAAGCCAGGTATACAGAGAGCACTCAATGAAAATCAAATAAAACAAAATAAAACAAAAGGCTCCTGAAACCATTTTTGGGGCCTGACCATTGATGGGAAACGTAGTTTGACGGCGCTCTTCTCAGGGTGGGGGTTGAGAAGGTCCAGGCTTCCGTAAGAAAAAAAATTCCAGCTGGGTTTTCAGTGGTTGTTTTCNACGGGACAAGCGCTTGACGACCGTAACTTTTAATCATTTTAGTCCTTATAACATAAAACATAAAAATTCTCCCCAGTGGTTGTTCATATATCCCTTATAATTCTCCTTGGGAGAATTTGATCCTACATCAAGAGATGATCAGCTCCGTCATTCTCTTTAACTCGGCTCTTAAATCTGTTTTAAAAAGGGTTATGAGAGTTAAGAAATTAACCAAGAACCAATTACCAGTTCAGCCTGTGGATGCTTCATAACAGCTTGCATATTGTGTCCATGGCGGTGTGCCCTTCGTTGTTTGGAGTACGGTTCTAAAAACTTGATATAGTTTACTCTGTGGAAGTAAAACAGGTGCAAATCAGAAACTTGGGTCTCACTTAGAGTGCTCAGAACGAAACTCCAAACCCTTTAGGACTTCTAACTGTCTAAATATATTTTGGGGTAGCACAAAAAAAAAGTAAAACAACAAAAAAAACCCACCATCATACTGTTTTGGTGGTCTAAGTCGAATAGAAAGGAAACCAGTTGTTTGTGCCCTTTACACTTTAATAATACACTTAATACACTTTAATAATACACTTTATTAAGCATTTATATGTATTTATATTAAGCATTCATATGTGTTTGCTTGCGGTTAGCATTTAAGCAGTGAAGGGGAAGGCGACTAAATGTGTCCTACCATGAATTATATGCCCTGAGCGGTATTTCGTTTTCACTTGTTGCAGCGCAAACGCAAGCACAAGCGCAAGTACAAGAAAAGGAAAAATTTTGATCCTTGTGTTTGTGCTTACGCTTGTGCTTATGCCTGCGTCAAGGCCGTTGCGTTTGCGCTTGTACTTGCGCTTGTGCTTGCGCTTGTGCTTGCGTCGCTAGTGGAAACCAGGCTTTAAACATGGCGAGTTCCTCTGCATTGAAGTCGGTCTAGTTTTTAGTGGCTTTAGTGGCTTCTTTCAACTTAAATGGTTAACGTTTTACCGAGGCTATGATTGCCGTGGGGTTTTAAAAACCTGTTTTAAAATCATAACACATGTTTGGTGTCGTTCACCACAACCATAAGCAAGTTGTAGGATAAATCGGTTGTAACTGAGTCGTAAGCTTATTGCATGCGGCAAAGTTAATACCATCTAAAGCAATCACAAGACTTTTTTTAGGTTTGGAGAAACTGCTACAAATTTTCTGTTCTTCCCATGCCGCTGAATCCAGCCCGTGGCTAAGGTCAGTAAAGCGTTATGGAACAATGTAAAGGTCCTTCAAAACAAATCTCAGTGGTAATCCTCTCTCCTGAAACGTGACAGATGCAGAGGGTATTCAGAAAACGGTACTGCGTGACCTACCTTCCCTCCTTCTTGGGATCAAACTTGTCACACAACATCTGACTCTCGTAGTCCGTTAGTTCAACACACATATCTTGCAAAATATTCTGTAAAAAAGAAAGATTTTCCCTCTTAGTCAAAAAGAAGTTTGTCTCAGCTAAGTAAAGAACGAAAGTTTGTTAAAAGATCAGAGCGTGACCTAAATGGGCTACATTGATTTGGATTGTCACACAATCTCGTTCGTTAAAAAAATCAATGGAAAATTGTGTGACAGCTAACAAGGTAAATTTATGTGTACTAATAGCGCAATATATGGCACTGTAGACGAAATATGACGAGACACTGAAACTTCCCCTGTATTTTAACATAGCTTTTTTAAAGGTGTTTTGACAAGCTTTCCGAGTACACGATAGGAGGTAGCAGGTGGCAGTCTAACTATTTCGTTCAAAGTTGCGATCACCAGTAAATCAAGCGTTCATTGGATCCCTGTAAGTCGACTATCAAACTTAAAAGAGCTCAGTCACAGAATTTCAGTTATTTTGGCCACGCACAAAATTACCTTTAAATTGAAGGAAACCTGAAAATAGTAGTTAACTAAGATAGAAAAACACCAAAGAGAAAATAAGAAACCATAAAGGAACAAGGATAGTTAAGGATGGAGAAGATTAACACGGATTCCAAACGACGGACTCGAAAAATTTAAGCTTAACTTTTTAAGATGCGGAAACCATGACATGACATAGCTCCCTTAAGCGGATATCTAGGTGACACTTGCACCACAATGACCATAAAGCCTGGAAACTAGGTGGTTCACTTGGTCAACTTACCATGAAGTCTTTTCTCGACACGGTCCCAGTGCCCTGTCGGTCAATGGCGGTGAACTCGTTCCAGAGTGTCTCCCAATGGAAGTCGATGTTGGATTTTAGCAGATGATGCAGTAAGTGCTTGTCACTGTTCAGTTTGTTGGATCGCATCATGAAATCATTGTCACCTCTCTTGGGCGGCGAGACTTTGGCATTAGGAAAAGCTAAGAGACACAAAAACAAGGTCTTAAGGACGTTCGCCCTAATTGTTTCTGCGCATCCTTACTGCGCACGCAAATTCACACGCCACGTCATGCATGAGAGCGCGCGCTAAGTGATAAAATGAACAATAGGGAACTTAAGCACGCGCGTTTTTGAGACGCGGACGGTAACCGGAAGTGAGCAACTTTCACTTTTAACTTGTCCTCACACAACCATATTCACATTGCTAAGTATCTTTTCTTCATTAGAGATGGGTAGTATAAAAAATCTGGGAGACAATACGGTCCTAGCATGCGAAATCTTCTCTTCCTGTTGCCGTCCGCGTCTCAAAAACGCGCGTGCTTAAGCTCCCTAATGATAGGGCAGATGGCCATTGCTATAGTTTTGCCTGGATTTAACGATCTTGGACGTTCGGTGACCCCTACTTTTCTTTCCAGAAACAGATTTCATTTACAATTATCTCCAGATTGTCCAAAACTGAACAAAAAATCAATGTGGGAAATTAAAAAAAAAAATTCAAGATTTCTGTCCACGGGACATCGAATCCTGCCATCTTGCGACTGCAAGGTGTGTGAAACTATGGTCGCCAAATGCGAACTTGTTCTTTAAGAAACCTGACTAAATTCATTAAATAGGTCCACTTAAAACAATATTCGGCAGAGAACATTTCACTTCAAAGATCTAATTGCAATATTTTTGCGCCTATAGACACTAACGCTAACGAAGCCCGATTTTTTCAGATTTAGGGTGTTCTTCCGGGCATGTTCTCTCCAAACCGAAGCCGGTGGTCCCCCATTTGTTTTACATTTCTGACATAACTAACTCATCATCTTACAGTGGTAAAAGTCTCGAGAAAAATCAATGTTGGAAAATTTTCGCGCGAACCTCCTTTATCAATGGTACTGATGGCTATTAACTCCTCTTTACAGGGCAAGCTAAATTCATCTCAAAATCTTTTTCGCTGGGATGGAGAGAAAAGAGAGACGTAATAGAGAGGAGGGCTTATTTTCAATTTCAGGAGTTCATTTCAGCTTGGTAATGTCTTTTGCGGCGGATAAATAGTTTTCAAAGCGTTAAGTTATCACAAAATAGTTTTTGCTCTTTTCATAAATTGTTCTGATTTAGCATCTTGGAAAAATGGGACAATCAATAAAGAAAGGGTTTATTACAGAGGGGGCACTTAATAACAGAGACAAGGGCTCATTATTGAGGGGGTCTAAAATAGAGGGGCGTAATAGAAACCAGCGCAGGGGGGCTTGAAACAGAGTGATGAACAGAGAACAGGGCCCATTAGCTCTGTTTTACCTATTGATGGGCAAGTTTAAGGCTACTGGAATTATCCACCATGGCGAATAGAAAAGACGATATTTGAGCGTTACAGTTGTAGTTCTCCATCGGAGGAAGTGAACGCGGACATAATTTTTCATGCTCTTCTTAAACGAAACAACACTTCTAAGGGCTAACTTGTAAACCAGAAAACTAGCTTAAAACATAGAACTGATTTTTAACGACTAAAAGTGACTAAAAATGTGACAGAAACGTCTCTAGGAAACCCATACAGATGCAACGATTGGTTTCTCTTGCATCTGATTGGCTCAAAAGATGGCATCTCTGCTGTGATGGGTTTTACACCTGTCACAATGACGTTTATAAGAACGTCAATTGAAAGAGCGTTCTCGGAACACACGCAGAATTTAATAACTGTTGTAAAACGAAATAAAGCTACCTGCAGAATCCAGTGAGTAACCAAACGTCCGCACGAACTGCCAATACTCGAGAGAGCCTCTGTGATCTGTAATCAGTGTATCCCAGAGGCGCTTTACCTCATTACGGCTTATAGAAAGACCAAACCTAACAGAGAGAAGCGGACACAAGTGAGAAAGTACTGCTTAGAAAGCATGAAAGTACTGCTTAAAAGGTTTCATTTGAATGATCACACATTAGATTTTCATCCGCAGACTTTTAAGTTAGAACCACCTTGTAGAGAATAATAAACAGTATTGCATGAAAGTACCGCTCTATACCTCTCATTTGAATGGTCACTCACGGCAAATATGAATAAAACAAAAAATAATTCATACATGTAGAGACGAATTTTTGCCTGTTGTGAATTAAACGGCGCCAAAAATAAACTAAAAAAACCGCCTGTGTACAAAGCAACATAACAAGGGGTGCAATGACAGCTCCAAAGGCCGTTGCAATTACGGTGGAAAATGCGAAATCCGATAAACAAATTCCAAGGCCTACAAAAGTTCTAAGAGTCAAATTATACTTCAAGTAGAAGCAAGGACGTGTAAAACGACTCATTGCTCACTTTTTTAGAAGTTTAATCATCACGTTCTGTGACATTTTCTTGCTGTTCAATTCGTCCAGTTCATAGAAGGCCTGTAAACAATAAGAAAAGAAGTGTTAGGATGATGTTTTCGTGACCGTAACAAGCACGCACGCTTTATGATTGGTTAAAAATAGAAATGATAAGTATCCCACGTGTAAAGTATTCTACAGAGCGTAAACTTGCTATAAAGCGAGTGTAACGCAACATTTTCCCGCGCCTGACGCGGGGTGCAGCACCTTGTTAAGAGTTCTAATTGTTTGATCTTGTTAGTAAACGTGCTGTGATTGGCCAGATGGAAATTTACCTCTCTCCGTAATCGCGCCATCGAGATACATCTTCGTTATCACTGTTGCTTAACAACTTACGAAATACAACCGCTGGCCTAGTCTACAATACGAATTGTTAATTTGTTGCCGGATAGGTATTGTTAATCTTACCTCTTCAAAAGCCTGGTAATTGTTCTGTAGAACTTTCTTGATAAGAGCTTTCAATTCCTCGACACTTCTCCCTTCTTGGCTGTTATATGAATCCATGGTTTTAATTGGTCTAAGTTGTTTCTTCGGTGACATCGGTGGGCTGTCAATTTCCGGTAGAGGAGGGAGACTTTCTTTCCGGTCCACGACACTGGAGCGGTCAAACAGACTTTTGGTTTCACTGTTTTAAAAATGGCGAAAAATAATCGATAAAACATTATTCTGACACCCTTGTAGTTTATTCTAGAAAACGATAAATGGTAATGTAATTTACAAATACGCGTCGAATGAGCAAGGGAAGACCGTTTGATTTGAACGGGAGAGTAGAAAGTCCGGCTTATGTGTTTGCTAATTTAATTAATTATTTTCTTTCTATTGTGACTTATGTATTATTATTTATTACAATGCCCGCCTCGATTAGCCTTCGCTAAACGCGGGTAGTGTAAGTTATGATTTGAAACTTGTAATGCCAATAAATAAAACTGTAAATGAAACTGGTAGTGGTAAGGCTGAAAAGTTATAGTTGTTAGTTCAAGAAGGTAAAACTTTTTCGAAACTCTACAAGCCTTAGTAGCAGCTGTGGTCCATTTTCACTGAGAAAACCTACAATTATTCCACTTTTATGTGAACTAGTCTTGGCTTTGCGTTCAGCAAACTTTTTTATTGATTCAAAAAATGAAAAGCAAAAATGAAAAACTCATTCCGTTACCTCTCTCACGCAAATGGTACATTACTTGCAAAATATTTCGGTCGATCTTAATTTTGATAGAAAAAGTGTCCTACAACAAAATCGTCCGAAATTTTAATTTTTTGATTGATTGAAGCGTCCCAAACATTTACAGTACAGTATAAAAGTAACTCCAAAGCTCTTAGTTCCCTTCAAATTGTGTTACTGCTCGTCTCTTCGGTATATCTATAAAACCTTTAGGCTGCGGTAAAACTATCATTTTCACAGATGTTGCTTTAGTCTAAAACGTGTTTTGTAGCCGTTAATTTACTTTAGCTGTGTTTCAGCAGCGTCCGAAATTTGTCCGAAATGAAATAAAGTGTCCGACAAAACATCCGAAATTTTTCGCAAGTAATGTGTGAAAGCCCATGACACTTACAACGTATCAAACTTGGACATGAACTCCACATATTTCACCATCCCGTCACTGTCAATAGGAACTTTTTTCAGAAACAAGTCAAACTCCTGGTCTGTCATGTTCAGTTCAAATCTTCCTTCAATGGCCGCGCGGAACTGTTGCTGGGTCAGAAGTCCAGAATCTCTGCGATCAATGTTACTGAAAAGAAAGATTTTTGTTACATGTTGTAAATTCATTCAAGCAGTATCCCACGCAGCAGGGGCCGTGAGAGAGAGAAAAGGGGGGGGGGTGCTCTCTAAACATTTTGCTGGGGGTCTGAGACTCAGTTCTTTTAAGCCCTTACTCTATTTCAGACCTAAATATGTAACGAACTTCCCCTTCCCTGTGACAGAGATGACTCAAAAATCGACACCCTACACAATAGAAAGAACTTTTAATCCCATACACCTGATAAGGGGCGAAATCCGTGGCACTAGATCACTGACGCTGGGGAGAGACTATGAATGTGCAACAGAGACTTCATATAATACTTACTGGAATGTACCCAACAGTGCCAAGAAGTCCTTTTGAAATGAATCCATGATCCTAGCTTCTATCGCTGAAGTTGTTGAATAATTACTTCCAACTTCACTGTGATGGTATCTGGTAAAAGAAGCCTACGATAAGTGTTGTGAAAGTAATGGAAATTCTACATTCTCGATTCTTTCCTACCCAGGAGAGATGCTTCGTTTGGTGGGAACATTTTAGCACATCTTTGAGACAAAAAAACGAGAGAAAAGATCTCACCAAAAGGGTGCTACATCCCAGCTACAGAGCACGGTTTTCACGGCAGCCGATGACAGTGTTCCGAAACAAACAAGAAATGTTTGAAAAAAAAACCTTATTGGGATAAACAAAACACGAGAAGAGAAAAAAAAAAGATCATTGTCATATTTCTGATGGATATAAAAATACCTGTGTAGTGGATTAGCTAAAATCTTGTGAGGCATTCCCTGTTCACTGCGATCCTGGAAGCGACGAAGAAACTCCTTGTAAGAAATCTTGCCATTGAATGCTTCCACACCGCATCTATGAAAAAAAGGATGTTTGATGTTTAAGAAAACACGCGTACGACCAGGACAAACACAATTATAATGAACAACCGTAGCTTTATTTCTTCTTTTACTTAGTTCTCATTAACCGAGCTTAGTCGGTCTGTATGGGAGAATCTTGACCGAGGTCGTGAGTACAGACCGAACGCAGTGAGGTCTGTACACATGACCGAGGTCAAGATTCTCCCATACAGACCGACTAAGCTCGGTTAATAAGATGTTTATTATACGGCGCAAACAAGAACAATTTAATTCGTTTAATGTAACTGGTTCGTACTAGCTGACATTTTGTTTGCGAACGGCGATGAGCTGAATTTAATTCTGCAAAAAATTTGCTCGCCCTCTTTACTTTTTTTTCTTAGCAGGCTTTTTGGTACTTCCATAAATAAATATTGTTAGATGGAAATAGTCACTGATTTCGCATTTTAATTTGAAATTTTTTCACTGCTAAACATTACCGGTCTAGATGCCTGTCTAGATGGGAAAATCTAGACCGCTTCCAATATCGATTTCAGCCAATCAAATTCGTGAATTTGGTAGTTCCCAGTCCTTGTGAGACAGAACCACGTAGTAATACTGAGACATGATGTTGTTTCAACTTGAATAATAGTCCCAAGAATGTCTACTACTCTTCATAAAAGGCGCGTAAATCAAAAAACCGAATTATGATATCTACGACGTATCCATGAAATTCCGACTTTTTAATCAGCCGCCTCGTAAAATGGTAGATTTGCACGAGGAGTTCCGACTCTTTTTGGCCAATCACAAAACAAGACAAACACTTGGAAGGTTGTCATAACAACTTGACAGAAACTCCGTCCTGTTATATAGCTGAAATTTTCACCCTAGTGGCGCGCGCTCTCTTGGCTACTCCGACGTTACATGACATGTCACAATGAACCTGTTTCGCGCGAGTGAAGTGTCACGCGCGAATGTTGAGAGAAGAACGCCGTTGCAGGAAACTAAGATGAAAAAGTGAATTGATATCAGTTTTCTATTGCTTTTTTTTTTTTCAAGAAAGAAAGACAGGCTTTAAAACAAGCTGCCAGACTTGTTCAATTTGATATAACAACCTTGATATAACAACCAAATATCCCTCTTTTCATCGCTTCAGTTCACTTTTAAAAATAGTAATTTTTAACAAAACTAGACCAGGTTTCTATCAATAAAAATACATATCTCGGGTTCGACTTTTCGAGGTCAATAATGCCCCTTCAACATGCATTTATTTACACACTGTAGGAAAAGTCAGCAAATCTTAAAATCACTTGCTTTATTTACAAACCTCGCCAGAAAGTCATCCAATTGCTTGTCAGTACTCAAGCGTAATCCAAAATCTTCCATGACACGTCTGAACTCATCTCGACTCACTTTCCCAATCCTGTCTAAATCCAACTCCATGAAAGCGTGCTTCATGTCGGAGAAACCTTCTCTGAATTTCCTCTTCAACCACCTCTCCACGTCTAAAGAATGCTTCCTTTCCACTTCAAGCTTCCTCGGAGAGCTTGATTCTTCTCTCGAGCCCGTATCCCTCATGGCAATGCCAAGCTTGCTCATCAATCTCTCCGCACGAATCGTCCCGTAGTTCTCAGTATCGTATTTCAGCCAGAGTTTTTCGAACTCCTCATCCTCCATGTAGAATCCCATTTTGTTGAGGGCGTTTCTCAGCTCGGGTTTGAGGATTCGTCCCGAACCTCCCGGGTTCATTTGCGGGATGAGATCGGCCACGTCCAAAAACCTAATGGTAAAAACAGCAGTGTTTTTCATTCATCATGTAAGCTCAGCAAACAACGCCTTTAACATGTACGTAAACTAGAACTCGAGTTAAGGTTTTACCGTGTGGCAATAAATTTTTGCGCGAGATAATTTTTGCGAATCGGCGATTTTTTGTATTTCGCAGTGATTGTGCTCCGTCTACATTATGCCAGAGAAACCTGAAATCGCAGCTTCATTTCTTCGGTTAGGCCGATAACGTCCACACTAATCCGGAGCTTTTCGAAAACAATCTTCAAACCGGAGGAATTTGAGAACGCCGGCTTTGCGTTAAAGTGTGGACAGAAAACATTTTGAAAAGGGAACTTTTGGAAAAGGATGACGTCACGATAAGTGACAAATCGTAACCCAAAAGGTTGCACCCAAGCATTTCTGCCGCCTGTGATTGTTGCGTTTTCAATTTTTTTTCCGACGTAGTGTGGACGGAAACATTTAATGCGTTATCAGAGTGAAAACGCCGTTTTCAAGTTTCTCCGCCATTGTGTGGACGGGGCTTAAGATTAATAGTCAGAATGTACCTCTGTTTAGCTTTTTCCTTAAGGTGCGCGTGCACTTGTGCAGCGGACATGTATTTCAAGTCTGGCTTCTCCAGTTCCAACCAAGCTGGACCTTCATCCGCTTTCTAAAGAGAAGGATAAAAAAGTAAGACAACGCTATTAGTCCTATCTTCAGTAGATTGTTCACAGCCTCTCCGTTTTTTCACCGCAAATAAACACCCCCCTCCTCCCTCCCGTCCCCGCTTCCATTCGGGCTTTGGGTTAGCGCGTTCAACGATCGGAGAAAAATACGAGAAAATAGAGAGTTTGCAGTTGTGAACAGCTCACGACTTCAGCACAAGAAGTTGACTTCAAAAGACTGGCTTACAGATATTGAATTGTCACAGAAACTTCGTGCCCATGAGTTCAAGAGATTCTAAGCATGCTTTAGTTGAAAAGATAAAAAAAAAATAAAAAATGACAGGCAGCACATCCTCAACAATAACAATATAATAAAACCAATTATAGTCCATCAAATATTTTTGCTCGCGCGCGATTGGTCTAAACGGGTTACGGGACTGAATATTTCCCAGTGATATTCCCCAATTTTCAAAACCGCGTGTGTTGCGAAAAATATTTGAAGGATAATAAACACAATAGCCTCCAGTTGGCTCGAAAACATGCTCGGATATTTGCCCTTGGGCATAGTCTGCTCCTCGAAGCTCACAGTTTTCCACGAGCTACGCTCTCGGAAAACTGTTCGCTTCTCGGAACAGATAATGTTCGCGGACAAATATCCGGACAATATCCGAGCATGCTTTCGCGTCAAATGAAGGCTATTGTTTATTTATTTTTTTAAAGATAAAAAGTGCAGGGCTTGAATACTCGGGATACGTTGACCAAACACCATCAACAACAGTGATTTGTGGCAAAGAACCAACCAGTTGACTGCTGATGCTGAGATCTTAAAGAAACGTTAAAGATGGATTGTCCACACTCTCCGCAAACCCCCAGGAAGGGCTTTAGGTGTTAGGTAGTAAGTAGGTAGGCCCTTTACATGTAATGCCAAAAAGGGGTATGTCTAAGTCTTTTGTGGGGGATTACTCTGTAGTCACTTGAAAACAAAAAGGAGTGAACAACAGCCTACATGTACCTCTTACCTTTGGTGGCCTGAAGGAAGCATAAAACTCATCATATGATATCATCTTTTTGTGGTCCAGTCTTAATCTGCAAGAAAGATCAAGGTAAAGTTATCATATGGCATTTGTAGTAATACTAAACAGTGAGGGCACGAATGGTGTCAGCTACATGACTACCAACAGTAACAATATAATTGTATGATATACAATCACTAACTAACGGTCAATAACCTGTTCTACATGTATCCAGTTTTTTTTTCATGAAAACATTATCCAGGAGTTTCACCATTAAATAGTCATTTCATTTATCGTTGTACAGTGTAAGTCAATCAAGAGAATTCAAAATGAACTCACCGAACCATCAGTTTGTTAAACTGGCTCAAACTGATCGACCGTGATAAGAAGTTCTGTAAAATCCTTGCCAGAGTTTCTCTGTGTGATGAAAGAACAATAATCATGACAAAAATAATTTTCAAAACAATGGAAGTCACTTATACGTCTATTTAGCCAATCAATTTTTCAATGAATTGATTTTTCAATCCAGTATTTGAATGAATGCTTACAAGTAAATTCCTGCACTGGTAAACATGCTATGAACTGTAATCTTTAGTTAGTAGCCTGATTCTCAGACGGTCCAGGTTGCTTGCGGCCAAGCATCGAGAGAGAGTGTGTGGCCATGAGCGACCTGCCCATCTGAGAATCAGGCTATCACCTTAGGGACAGACCATTGTTTATTTGATAGCAGGGGGTGGGGGGAGGGGGGGGGTTGGGCAATTTTGTGGGGCATGAATTTTTTTCTCACTTTTAGGTTGTATATAATTTTCTTTGGGTGGGCACCAACTTGCGCAAGAATTTTTTTTAACATCAAAAATAGGACCAGGATAGTAGAAAGCACTTGCTTGATTTTTTTTTACCCCCGTGGATCCCCTTGCACAATTTTTTTTCAGCCATTTTTGCTGTGCAGGATCTTTTTTTGAAATTGCCCAGCACCCCCTCAAAAAAAAACCAAAACAAAACAAACAAAAAAAAAAAACAGTCCAGCACAAAAGTGATAGTTCAAAGCATGTTACATTACATGGCATGTCTACCTGAGTGTAGAAATTTACTTGTACGTTAGTTCTATATTTCAAGAGGGAGAGAAGTTTCAAAAGACAGTGGGTTTTAAGAAAAGTATGCGGCTTCCAGCTAAAAACAAGAATTTTTAGGGAGGTGGAATTTAAACCAAGATACTTTTCCATGGGCGTGGTCTGTTTGCTGGAAAAATATCTTTTGTTGTTGTTTGTTGGATTACACACAATTACACGTGGCACGAAGGAGATGGCACTGGTAATCCATGTACCTGCTAACTATTCCTTTGGCTTCTGGATCAGATTCTTTGAAAGTGTTCTTGATTGTGTAATATCCAGTTTTCATCTTCTCTCTTAATATATATTCAATCTACAAGTAACCCGAGACAAAATAAAACAAACAATGGGTTACCAGATATAATTTATTACATAAATAACATTACATTATATAAAGTTGATTGATTGATTCATATATGTAAACATCATAAAATAATTTGTATTAATTATAATTCATTGACACTTAATAAATAAATTCCATTACATAATGGAAAAGAAAAATCAACATCCTTAGCAAGTGATACAGCTGCTCAAATATGATTCAAAACTTCAAACATCCAGTCCTTGATTTCTTTTGTAAGGCTAAGAGGAGTGGGACATTGGGGTTTGCTGTATTGGACGATTTTTCTTGCAGTATTTAGGTAATTTTAATCTCAAATTGTGGTACTATGGTATTCTCCGAGCCTGAAGAGTGTGATTTTTTAGAATTTTGGATGGTATTAAAAAATAACCTCCGAGTCCTCTAACATTTTCCGAGCCTTTTCCTGTTGGTAAGATATTTTTTGCTAATTATTAGCTAGCACGGCAATGGATGCTACTTATTTTGTGTATACTTTTTGTCTAAATCAAGAATTACCTGACTTAACATTCATTAACAAATTCCTAATTGTTATTTCTGTGTTATAAATGTTCTAAACTTGACATACAGAGTAGTGCTTTCAGTATAACATTGAGTTTCGACTTGGTGTTAAAGTTCTGCGGTATTTGGCAATTTTTTTTTTTTTTTTGCATTATTGCGCCATTTGCCGATTTTTTTTTGTAGTATTGCGGTGTTCAGAACCCCCCCAATGTCCTCCTCTAAGAGAGTCTGAGGCTAGTCCTCTCTATTATGGTGTTACCATCTCTAAATACTTATCATTCACTGCCAGTAACAAGTCATGACATACCTCATCAACTGAAGCTTTGTCTGGACCTTGTAGTGATGATGCCGCACTGTTCAGTCGAGACAGACGGCTCTCTGCTCGGCTAGCCATGTCAGCACGGCTCCCTAATGTAACAAAGGATAATATAAATTCAAGAAATACTAGCAAACATTTTAAGTACCCCACAAAGCAATACTAATTGCACTTTTTTCAGAAAAATTTTTTTAAGAAATTACCGTAATAATTATTATTTATCTACATGTGACTAATAGCATGTACAATTTTCTGAGAAAAATACGAGGAGGCCAGCTTATCCAAATAGCTGATTATATAATAAATTTAGAAATAAATGTGGTAAAAATGGCCAATGGTCTGGTTAATCAGTGGCTTGTTGTTATAACAATATCTCGGTCCAGATATCAACATTGATTTGCCACAAACATATAGACAAAAACCAACTCAGAAGAGTAAAAACGAGTTGAGAAGTCACACCCTAAATACCAACTTTCTTTAGTTCATTTACATGTAACCGTCCCATGTCTCATAATATTGTGTACATAGAAGAAGGTTGCGAGCGGGTAAATAAATAATATTTATCTCATGGGCTATATTTGTTTACATTTTCAAATGACTTTCCGCACGAATTTTCTAACAGATCGACGACATTTACGTTAATAAATGGAAAGCATATTTATACTAATTCCAATTATGGCCATACACTGACAGGTGTTACGACTAGAAGTGAAGCAGATGTTGCTACAAACAAAAGGAGATATTCGCTTTATGTGGCTCGATGATTAACTACCATTAAAAACGATCCCTATATGTTGCTTTCAACTGGCATATGGAGTAACTGTTATTAAACCACAAAGGAGAAAACGCGTTGAAAAAAATCACCATAGCCCTCAACATTTAGCCCTTTTTCTTCCGGAGCAGAAAAAACTCATTTGTAACAAATCTCTATTGTAGGACAAGCACGTTTCGATATAATTTTCACGTTCATAAAATAGCGATAGGAGTGCTCCGTTCTATTTAGTTGTGGGTTGGAGGGTCATAATTAGTTAAATAACACTATCTTTTGAAGTCCTTGGTCGCCTCTTAGAGAAATTCAAGAAATGTAAGCATGATAAAATATATAGGCATCACAGATTTCACTGACAAGGCAAAGAATCGAAGACTTACCGAAAATTGGAATACTCGGTTTGTTAGGGTCTTCGGCTCGCTTCACCTCCACACCTTCTGGAATACCCACAAATCCATTATTTCTCGGGCTGTGTTGTCCTCCAAAACCGTTCGAAGACCGTGTTAGCCTCCAAGGCACTTGATCTGCTGTTATCGGTCGTAAGGAGTTGAGTTTTCCTCGGTCAAAATCTTGAGCGAAAGTCAAACTTTGCCGCGAAGCCACGCGAGATCCGTCCCGAGACAAACCTCTCACGTTTAAATTTGTAGGATCATCCATTCTCGACAAAGGATGGGGTATGGCTGGAAGGTTAGTCGTAGCCATTTTGATGTAGTTTTCTCCTCGAAAAAGCTTGCGTTGCCGTTCTCGTCACACCATTCGTTCCAAAATGGCTAACAGCGTAACATTAGACGAGTTGTTCAGCGAGACTAGCGGTGTGCATAAACTGTCTGGTTGCTATGCAACTAATCTCGCGGTCGAGTGACTTTCTCGTGTCGATAGAGAATGTAAATATTAATTATTCACCTCTAGACATTTTTTTGACACTTGACTCTTGATTTTCCGATAAATTAAATGTCTCCTTCAATCTAGGATTTCTTACAAATAATAGTGGCAATGCATTTATATCAGAAAATAAATATACTTGGGAAATATATCAAGTTTTCCATGCGTTTTACAGATGCATAATTATGAGTCGGTATCTGTCCCAATTAAAAATTCCCTACAAAAGCAAATATTTGCCTAAATATGATATAAGTGCATGAAATAACAATTTCAGAAGGACTGAGCACACGTAAATTAAAACCGTTGGCTTTCCCAGATCAAACTATTCCCATCAAAGATTCTGTAGTTTGAAAAGCTGAAAAGAACTTTCAACAACGTTTACTAAGAACGATCCTTTACTGATATTCTAACAATGAAATATGCTAGTTATAATAAGACTCATATTTACCTTATAAAGTATTAGATATACGCTTATGTTCATTGTAAAGATTTTACAAAATAAAAAAAATGCAGATTTCTCAGTGTGATCTTTCTCTAAGTCATTGGCCACTATAATTTATATCCATCACTACCATCTCCCCGTTGACGAGTGAAGTCGTAATTTACCCCCTGGGAAAAAAGATAAATAAACCTTAATTTTATTTACCGCTGTACCCTGGCAAAATATAAATCGCGCCGGAAGGGCAACGAAAAAATAACTTCTGTCCCATTTTAAAGAGACTTTCTTCGCACAATTATTTACAGATTTAATCCTCAAGCGATTTTGTTTTGTTTGAAGGTCAGTTAACCAGCAAAAACAGACAAACAAAAAACAAACAAAAACAAAAACAAACAAACAACAACAAAAAAACAAACAAAAAAATAGGTTGTATTTCGGATTTTGAAAATCGATCAACAATAATAGTGAAAAGAACGTGTTCGAAACCAAGCTAAACCAGATCGCCAAAATACTGGACAACACTACACACGTTTCCGTCTTTTCACGGTTCGCGTGTTAAAGGGATAGTTAACACTGTTTTAGCTTAAGGTTTAACAGACCATTACAGTTAAATGAGAAATAAGCGTAGAGTACTTACGTTTAGTAGCACTTCGTTTAAACTAAGTACCTGATATGCCACAGCAGATGACCTGTGAATTGAAAACTTTGCCATTTCTTCCTTTGGCGGGACATATGGCCCCCTGGACAACTAAGCTACCAAGAAAGCAAAACTCGATGCCGAAAACTACTAGACTGGGTCCTTTCCCGTAAGATCATGATATCTTATCTTGGTTAACTGAATTAAACATTTTTCCTTTGTTTTTTTTTCGTGGATATTTCGAGAGAAAAAAACTACAGTGTGATCTACTGCCAGAGATCAAAGGGTGGTTCGCTTCTATGGCAACCGACACAACAAGGCTAGGACGCTAAGCACACATGTAACCTATCCTGGGCATGACAGCGAGGCAATTATAGCCGAGCGTTTTTGAAATAAACGCGC